TCTTTTCAAACAGCGTCTTTAACGTACACCTAAAGGGGCAGATGGAACCTCAGTTTAACGTGTAGTTTGAAGGAGGGCACCTCCAACACTACAGTGCCCCCCCCCCCCCCCCCCAGCACTGCACTGGAGTGTCAGCCTGGCCTTGGAGCAGAAAGTCCTGACATGGGATTTCAGGACGTATCAGACATCTGACAGCACATGGGTCCTTAGCTTCAAAGATTGGTTTCATGTCTGTAATTGTCTACTAAATCTTCTTACATAACTTTATATTCTTATATAGTTTGGGTCACGACATGTCCAGCGACTGTCAGGATGGTGGAAGGTGAACTAGATGGACCTTAGTCCTCTTTCGTCAGCAAACTCTTATGTTCTTAAGTGCTTGGAATATGCGTCGTGTGGTTTTGTCATCTCAACTCGGTCAAGAACAATGCACTATAGTCGTTCCTGTGTAATGGGAGGATGGATTTTTTTTGAATAAAAAAGTTTATTTTCATATTTTCTCTCCGCAGGCATCTGCTCTCCGCTCCTCAATAATAATAATAATCTTTGCGTTTGACACAGAGCCTCATCATATGTTGTTTAGTCGTCTCGAAGCGCTTCACAGAATGCACTGCATTTTGTGGGCGAAATATACAATCAATTCTTGTGATATCCTCGCAGAGGATCCTCGCGTGATCAGTTCCATGTCTGTCACCAAAGACAATTTCCAGTTGATAAATAGTTCCTTTTTTATTCCTGGGAATACTATTTAGAAATACTGCAATTTAACACTTCCCACTCAATAGTGAGACAACTTTAAGTGCCCTGAAGATACTCTGCAATGTAAAGCGTAAAGGCAAATGAAAAAACAGAACATTTTTGTTTATAACCTTTCAAACAAATCCAAATGACTGAAAGCTTAGCAAAATATTTACTTACTTAGTACTGACTTGGTGAATTCAGTCCTGCTTCCTCATCGCCGACAAACCACACAGTCGCTCAGACTTACAGCAGATCGAGTAAAAGCGATTTGAGACGTCCTCCTGACGTAAAAGGCGCTACATTTAAATGTAAGGAGTATTTATTATTATTACCATTATTATCATCTTAATCCAGTGATGAAAAGTCACGCAGGCCCTTAAATGAAGCTGCTCACCTGTAGCTGAAACCAACACGTCTCTGCGGTGGATCTTCCCTTCCCTTATAGCTTATTCAACACGTGGACACGTTGGTTGAGTCAGTTACAGTGGACCTGCAGGTGCTGCGTATTCTGAGATCTCTCCAATGATTGACAAGACAATGAACTATTCAGGAACGACTGGAAACGTGCCAAGAACGTCCGCCTCCACCAACCAGGTAAGGATGAGGGAGGGACATCGGGCAGGTGTGAGTTGTCAATCTGAGGCTTGACATTCCGCCTAACTTTACTCAAGTGAAAGGTCCCGCCTGTACCTGTTCAGGTGGATGTTAAAGGTCCCGTGGCACTACTCGAAAGTGAAGGGAATCTCTCCCGTTGTCCTGGCCAACCGTCCCCCCAATACAGATTGGTCACTCACTTCATGGCTGTCTGTGGGACATTACTGTGCATAAATTGGCTGCCGCTTTTTCCTAAAGAATACACAGTCACTACACTTCACAGCATAGTTACAATTAAAGCAGCACAGCACACTTAAAAGCACTTTTGAGATGTCCTTGTGTTATAGAGCGAAAGTCTCTCTATCAAATGCTAGGATTGTAATCATAATTATCTTCCAATAAAGCGACAGTTATTTATCAAAGCTTTACTCAATGATTCAGTGATTAAGTAAACCAGTGCACTCATGACGATCTCCGGAAAACACATTCCAACACTACACGCTTCCAGCTCGGAGATCAACGTGTGGGAAAAGAACTGGGAATGGGGATTAGAGCGTCCAGCTCCAGGGCAGGAACTGGCACCAGGGTGGGCTGGATGGGGTTGAATGGCCTCACTCGGTGCCCTCATTTTACCCTAAGTCAACAAAACGTTGCCCCTCACCCTCGGAAAGTAACCTGTCTTTTATTGGTTGCATTGGAGCGTTGACAAGCTGCCACGAGCCTCAAAGGAACCTGTCTCATTGACTCGCTGCCTCCCGTCTGGCTCTTCATACAAGATTAATGGGTCGAAGCGAATCTGAGACAAAGGGAAAAGCAGCCTTGAAAGTGCAAGATTCCTGCAGATCACCAACCCTCTGCTTAACAGCCTAAATGGTTAATCATGTCACTGAAATCCGAGCCCAGGCTCTGAGCGTAAGAGTTTTACGTTGTCTGAACCCAACACTGGGTGAGGCATGAGTTTCAGGGGCTCAATTCACCAACTCGTTCATCACTGTGAGGCATCACTGCGTGTGAGCAATGAACAAGGCACTGGGCTACATTACCAAAGCAGCTGAACTCCAAAAAGTATTAGCCACAGTTTGGCCACGAGCCAAGGCTTGCCGTTGAGAGCGCTGTCTGGCAAGCTTCCTGTTGCTTGCCCAGCTAGGACCAACCTACCCGACTGGGCTTTGGCTTGCAGAGCTAATAGGAGCTCAGCTTCGAAAAGAGATATCTCAGAGGGAACCTTAGAGAGGCAACACTTCACAGAATATACTGTAAAGTGAATTGACTGTATATTTTGTAGACAAAACATCCCAGGAAGTATTTCTTTAGCCAAAGGAACACAGAAAGAGGAAGAAGCCACTCGGCCCACCGAGCCCGTCCTCCCACTTTCCAAAATCCAATGGCCGATCTGCAGCTCAATCCGACCTCCCCACCCTCTCTCTCTCTATATCCCTTGATATTCCTGTCTATCAAGTATTCATCTCTTTAAAAGTTTTCAATCGACTCTGCCTCCATTGGCCGCTGCTGGGGGGAGCGAATTCCTCAGTCCCACCACCTGCTGCTTGAAAAATGGTTCCTCATTTCACTTTTAAAACAGTTTAGCCTCAGGTTTAAGACGATGGCCTCCAGACCTCAATTGTCTCGCCTGAGGAAATACTCGCTCACTACTCAGCCGGTCAAACCTCTTTATAATTACACAGTCAATTCACTTTACAGTGTGTTCTGTGAAGCGCTTTGGGACGTCCTTCCGACGTGAAAAGCGCTATATCAAATGCAAGGATTATTATTATTATTGTCACACATCGATCACATTTTCTTTATGGGTTTGATGGTATCGTAGTGTGTGTGTGTGTGTGTGTGACCACCACAAAGTTAACTGTGACCTATTTATTCCTCAATCCATTGTAATGTCTATTCCTCTCTTGCAAATGTCCTGCTGGAGACTGTCCAACTAAAACCACACCACACAGTTTGCCGTCGAGAGCACAGACTTTTCCACTGTTTATCAGCCCTTTGGAATGTCCTACAGACCTGAAAGGGTAAAACGATGTAATTAATAATAATAATAATAATAATAATAATAATCCTTGCATTTGATATAGCGCTTTTCACGTCGGGAGGACGTCCCAAAGCGTTTCACAGAACACACTGTAAAGTGAATTGACTATATTTGTGGGCGAACGCGGCAGCCAATTGCGCACAGCAATGTCCCACAAACAGTCGTGGATTGAAAATGACCAATTTATTATTGGTTTTTGGTTTTGGAGGGATTATTATTAGGCTCTGTGTGGAGTAAGGAAACTTGCCCAAGGTTTCGCCCTCTGCCTGGAATTGAACTCTGGTCTCTCGCTTGCAAAGCGAGTGCTCTAACCACTGAGCTACAGGACTCCAGGGCACTCACATCCGATCACAGTACAGCCCGGTCTGGGTCATGGGGCAGGACCGGGTTGGACAAACGAGTCACTGGGGACGAGGAGTCATCCCACTCAGCTCCTGCTAACCCCACAAGGGGTGGTCCTCGCTGGACAAGCAACAACAACAACAACAACAACACGATTCCATTTATAGAGCGCCTTTCACGTTGGGAGGACGTCCCAAGGCACTGGACAGTTGGGTCAGGACCCGAGCATTGGGTGGGGGAAATGGTCAGGGTGAGGGGGGGGGGGAAGGGAGGGAGCGAGGAGGGGGGAAATGGTCAGGGTGAGGGGGGGAATGGTCAGGGTGAGGGGGGGGGAAAGGGAGGGAGCGAGGAGGGGGAAATGGTCAGGGTGAGGGGGGAAGGGAGGGAGCGAGGAGGGGGAAATGGTCAGGGTGAGGGGGAATGGTCAGGGTGAGGGGGGGAAAGGGAGGGAGCGAGGAGGGGGTAGAGAGTTGAGAGGGGGGGGGGGTGAAGGCACGGGAACGCTTGGCCAGACAGCGGCATCAGTGGCCAAACTGTGTGTGGGTTTGGCTGTTGGACTCCAGCGGTTACCCCAACGCACGTTCCGGGGTTCCCCCCCAGTCCGGGCTCGGGCCAACCCGGGAATAATATTTTCCGGGATTAGCCATCCAGCGCACGGCCCTCCCCAGAGAGAGAGAGAGAGAGAGAGGGAGAGAGCGCATAGCATTCCAATAATCTATCCCTGGGATTTCCATGTGTAGGAGTGGGATATATGGAATGGTTTGGAGACTCTTAAGCGATGGCGATGGTTGACCACCAACACACACACACACACACACACACACACGGGCTCCCCCGGCGCCACCTGGCGGCAGGGAACGGTAGTGCCGAAGCGGACAGCGCCATCTCGCGGCCGGAGGACAGGGAAGGCGGGAGGGACAGCGCCATCTCGCGGCCGGAGGACAGGGAGGGCGGGAGGGACAGCGCCACCGGGCGGCCGGAGGACAGGGAGGGCGGGAGGGACAGCGCCACCGGGCGGCCGGAGGACAGGGAGTGCGGGAGGGACAGCGCCACCGGGCGGCCGGAGGAGAGGGAAGGGCGGGAGGGACAGCGCCACCGGGCGGCCGGAGGAGAGGCGGCGGCGGCGGCTGCGGTGGCGGGAGAGGAAAGTTGACTGATCGGCGGTTGGAGTCGGTCGTGTTCTCGCTGTGTCTCCGCCGCTGTTGCCCGGGTCCGGCCTCAGGCCGCGCCCCCCCCACCCCCACACACTCCCCACACCCCCACACTCCCCCCACTCCCCCCCAGAGTTATGTCGGTGAATTACGCGGCGGGATTGTCGTCCTACGAGCACAAGGGGAAGTGCGGCCTTCCCGAGGTAGGTCCCCGGCCTTTCCTGAGGGCCCAGGCCGAGGGGAGGGCGCTGGGCGGCGGCTGAGGCCGCCACTGGTTTGGGGGCTGTGGGGGGGGGTACTGCCCTGTGGTGTCCTTTACACAGAAAAAATAATAACACTATTAATAACATAATAGTTCATTGTCTCATATGTTAATAATAATGTACTATTCACACAAAATACAGAATAATATATTATTATGTAATGATGTAGTGAGAGAGTATTTTATACGGAATAATAAGATAATAATACAATAATATTGTTAACTAATATGTTATTAATAATAGAATATTTATAATGATATAATAACAGTGTATTTTGTACATAATAATATATCAATAACCTAATAATACAATGTAATCGTATAATAATAATCAGATGATATCAATATAATAATAGTAATAATAATAATAATAATAATCCCTCCAGACGTCTCAAAGCGCTTCACAGGACCGACTGTAAAGTGTGTGTTGTGGGCGAAACGCGGCAGACGATTGCGCTCAGCGACGTCCCCACAAACCGTCGCGGCTCGAAGTGACCAAATTATTATTGTTATTTTGAAGGGATGAATATCCCCGGACGGTGATCCATTAATCGACCGACAGCCGGGTTCGCTGCTGGTAAACAAAAACTTGTTTGTACTTTAGGAGCAGAAACCAAAAAGAAACCCTCTTCTCAGTCATCCCCGACTCTTATTGTTATTGTTGTGGCACCGAATAATAATAATAATAATTATATAAAATACTGTTTATTGATCCTCACGTTAAACCCAGCGCCTGGACCATCGAAGCGTCCTGAAGTGTTTCACAAAGAGATACTGTGTCGTCAGGTGTAGTGACTGTGAATTCGGTAGTGAGGGGAGAGGGGTTCAGGGGCGAATAGGACTATGTATCCGCATCAGAGTTTGGGGTCGGATGGGGGAGGTAAGCGGGGTCTCCTGGCAAATGATCTGGTGACATGTTTGGCAACCAGTCCGGTTTCCTGAGCCGGGGGGGTCCGCAGTATTCCAGGGCAACTCACTGCTGATGACAGCACAGCTCAGCCTGGCTCGTGGGCAGGACCTGGAAGGGCCGACCAGTCACTGGGGACAGTGAGTCATCCCACTCAGCTCCTGTCAACGTGGCAAAGCCAAAGCCCCAATGGGTAGGGAGGTCCTCACTGGACAAGCAGCGGGAAAGCTCCCAGAACAGTGCACTCAATACAGCTTTAGTTGGTTAGACTCCAGCAGTTACCCCAACGTGCACTCTGGGGTCCCCAAATCTGTACCTAACACTTTCCAGAATTAGGTAAACAGGATGCATCCCTCCAGGGAGAGAGTGTGCGTTCCAACCCAACAAATAACTCCGGAATTTTCACTTGTAGGTGGGATGCACAGAACTCCCAGTTGGCTTTGGATACGCTTAAGCATAGTGATGGCTTTCCACATGTAGTAGTAATAATAATAATCCTTGTATTATTTGACACAGTGCCTTATGTCTTTGAGACGTCTCAAAGCGCTTCACAGAATATACTGTAGAGTGAATTGACTGTGTGTTTGGTGGGTGAAATGCAGCAGCAATTGTGCACAGCAGTATCCCCAAAACAATTTTTTTAATATCCCAAACACATACATGACCAAGGATGTCTGACATGTCCTGTAGCTCAGTGGTTAGAGCACTCGCTTTGCAAGCGAGAGACCTGAGTTCAATTCCAGGCAGAGGGCGAAACCTTGGGCAAGTTTCCTTACTCCACACAGAGCCTAATAATAATCCCTCCAAAACCCAAAACAATAATAAATTGGTCATTTTCAATCTATGACTGTTTGTGGGACATTGCTGTGCGCAATTGGCTGCCGCGTTCGCCCACAAATATACAGTCAATTCACTTTACAGTGTGTTCTGTGAAGCGCTTTGGGACGTCCTCCCGACGTGAAAAGCGCTATATCAAACGCAAGGATTATTATTATATGTTAGACAATCCCCCCAAAAAAATTCCAAGCAGTAGTGTGGATAATGAGTTTTCATTGTAAAAATCCTTCCCAGTATTTGCAAGCTGCTTATAAAAGGATAGCGTTCTGTCTAACTCATTAATCTGGTCTGATATGAACCCAGAGGGGATAGAATAGTGCACTTAATCCCCTTCAGATAAAATTGGACATTCCTTACATAGATGTTTTTAGGCCGTTTTACTGCACACCATTTGGCTGCTCCATTTGCCTGCAAAGTACAGTCATTCCTGTGAAGTGCTGTAAGACGTTTTCATGATGTGATGAAGCGTTTTACCAAATCCAAGGATTATTATTCCTTTGACACACAGTGCATCTCTCCAGCATAGTTTGAGTGTCACTCTGCTTCTTGTTCTTATGGGTACTGAGTTTGGGGAAAGTTAGAACCTTTGTGAGGGTTTAGTGTTTCTCGCAAAGGATGTAAGGAGAGACCTGATCACACTGCTTCTCGGGACAGCCAGCTGAGAGCTGGTCCCTTGTTGCCCGTTGCGGCAGGAGATCTCTAAGCAGGTGCTACGCAAACATAATTTGGTGTTGTTGCAGAGCTTTGATTCCCCCGAAGAGCTGGAGAGGAAAGTGCTGGAGTTTGCGGAGCTGGTTCGGAATGCCTCGTACGCGGTGGCTCACACGGGAGCTGGGATCAGCACGTCCACGGGAATCCCCGACTTCAGGTGCCGGCTCTTTTACTTTCCAAATGGAGCGAACTGCAGCGGGTGAAATCAGGCAGCCTGTGTTCACAGTGTAGACAAATGTGGATCAGTGCGTTAAAAGTTACCCGCTTTCAATGGACGTGTCTCGTGCTCGTGCAGTTCCTTTCTTGAGAGACGACAGCAACTTGTATTTATATAGCGCGGCTCAGGCAGGGTAGCATCCCAGACCGAGGGCCCCGGGTTTGCTCGCTGCCGGGAGAGAGCGTCTGATTTTGGGGGGGAATGGAGATTCCCGGTGTCCAACAGCTTAACGGCCGATTGTTGACAGGGGTCCTCGCGGGGTGTGGACGATGGAAGAACAGGGGCTCGCTCCCAAGTTTGACACCACCTTCGAGGAAGCCAGACCTTCCAAGACACACATGGCGATGCTGGCCCTGCAGCGGGCTGGCTTACTGAAGTACCTCATCAGCCAGAATGTGGACGGACTGCACGTGCGATCAGGATTTCCCAAGTAAGTCCGTACCTTTGTGTTCTTAATGCTTACGTGGGGTTTGGGGTTTCAAGTCTATCAATCCCTGCTTCAAAGCCCCAAGTTTGGACCCTGAGCTCACCATATAGGTGGACCCACCAGTGCAATACTGAGCGAGCATCATTGTGGGAGGTGATGTCTTTCAGGCCGAGTGTTAAACTGAGGTCCTATCTGCCCAATCGTGATCTGGGCATTAAAGATCCTCTGGCACCATTAGGAAAAAGAGAGAGAGAATTTCTCCCAAGTCATCATTCCGCCAAAGAAATTGGTCATTGGCCTCCTGACCGTTTGTGGGATTTACCTGTGCACAAATTGACTCCACATTCGTTTTCGCTTTACCGTAGGTACCGCAAAGCACTTTTTGAGCAAGTTCAAGTGCGATAAAGTACTTTAAAAAAAATTCTTTCTGTTGTCTCAGCTCACTCAAAGCTTCATTGTTCACAGGTCATTCATTCATTGTCACCTGAGATGATGATAATAATCTTCGTTTGATACAGCGCCTAAGTACATCGTTGAGACGTCTCAAAGCGCTTCACAGAATATATTGCAAAGTGGATTGACTGTGTATTTTGGGAGCGAAACAAGGCAGCCAATTGCGCACAGCAGTGTCCCACAAACAGTTGTGAATTGAGTAACGACTCAAACCAAGGATTTTTTTTTGAGGGATTATTACCCCTGGAAAGCGATCCGCCAATCGAGTAACAGCCAGGTTCCTGCTTACTGCCAGGTAAACAGGAGCGTGTGGTAAAGAAACTTGCTTAAGGTGCCTCCCCAACACAAAACATACAGTTAGTTCCTGTTACAGTATATTCTGTGAAGTGCTTTGAGACGTCTCAACGATGAGATCAGTCGCTGCATCAAATGCGAGGACTATTATTATTATTATTATTATGTCTCATTGTCGGGAAACATGGCTCACTTTAGCGTCTCCAAAGCCTGATCACCGCAATGGCTGCAGTTGATCAGCAGGTGGCGCTATCTGCACACCAAGCCACTGCCCCAAACAATACCACGGAACAACGCGGGGGTGGGGGGGGGCGGAGAGCCTATTTGCTTTTATTTCCCGCAGTTTTAAGAAAAATGACAAGCTTTTGTTGATGGAAATTAATTACTGCAAAGCTTCGGTGACGGGAGAGGAGTAATGATCCTTACTTTCAATATTCACCGGTAACAGGAGCGCCTCAAAGCGCTCCCCAGGGTCAGCGACTGTTATATTTTGCAAGAGAACCTGGCAGCTGATTTTGCGCACAGCCACCAAAACCGCTCCGTTAGATAATTCTGAAGCTGGACTCGCTTTCTGATTTTCAACGACGATGGTAAACGCGAGTTGAGCCGAGGCAGTAACCAGGGAAGGTTTTTTTCCCCCCAATTCACTCGCTCCCCCACTCTCCCTATCTCGCCACCCCCCGAAAAAATTTGACTCCTTTTCCTTATTAATGTGAGGTTCTACAATTGTATCTCACCTTAGTAACCAGTGCTTATTGGTGAGCGCTGTCAGCGAGTGATTTGTGCTGCGGATAGAGGAGTGGGGGTGGCATTGCAGAGTAGTCTGGTTATGTTCCCACCAAATGTCCACAAGAATGGTCAAGCAAGGTCAATGGATAGTGATTCTTCATGGAAACTATAGCCAAATGTTTCTCTCTCCTTCCCCCCCCCACACCCCCCAAAAAAATCCAGTGCCCAGCAAACAAACAGCCTGAGATCTTCTTGGTTTGTGTCGTTCACCTGCTGACTGGAAACACTCACTGAGCCATTCGGGACGGGGATGGAATTGTAACATCCCCGAGGACCTCCACTTGTGAACATGGAAAGTCGGTGCTGTGTTGAGTGAGTGCTGAAGCACTGGTGTTTTGAGCTGGGAATTAGGATCAGCACAAACCTCTGACACAGCAAGAGGCCATTCGGACCATTATATTGGTGACAGTCGGCCTTTGATCTTCCAATAAAGCCATCTGTTCTAATCCCAATTTCCTCTACAGGTTCCTATCTAATCCTCTTTTAAATGCCCCAATCAACTGTGCTCCAATAGCAACCCGAAGAAATTTTTAGTACGGTGATAATCTCTTCAAAAAAATAATAATAAATTGGTCACTCAATCCACGATTGTTTGTCGGACACTGCTGTGCGCAATTGGCTGCCACATTTTCACCCACAAAAATATTCGTTCAATTCACTTTACAGGTATATTCTGCGAAGCGCTTTGAGGTGTCGCGAAGACGTGATAAGGCGCTGTATAAAATGCAAAGATTATTATTATAACTTGTAACAAGGAGAAGGAGTTTTCGATTAGTCAAAAGGGATGTTTATGTAAGTCAGCCAATGCTTCGGGACATCCTCCGATGTGAAAGACGCTGTACAAATGTCATTCCTTGTCAGGATACATCTCAGCAACTTTTTGGTTTGAAGTTTCAAAGTTAAGGTCCATTTTATCAAGTGGCTGCACAAGTGATACTTCTAATCTCCTCCCAGCTCACTCAGTTCTCGAGCCCTTCAGAAGCAAGAAACCAATTTATATATTCGTTTAATAGACTTCAATCATCTCACAGCCTCAGGGGTGTTACACAGGGATTCATTGAAAACCTCTCCTCTTTAAAATTCAAGGTTGGAAACAAAACTATTTGAAATTCAATTTGTCGGGCCTTCAGAAGTGCCTTGGGTTTTGATGTATTTAAAATCTACATCGATACGGTATAGACCTGCTGTGCTCTGACAAACTCATGCAAAGGTTGCTGGTGGCAATTTGGTTAATTAAGGTAGTGATAATTATAAGGTGGGATTTGAGGCAAGAAGTTTTAACTGCAATTGTCGGAGTGACCTTTCATTCTAATACAGAACGAGGCCTCATATTTGCACTAAATGGCACTGCCCTGTTGCAGACAGTGTAGATAACGGTGTTTGTCTGTCTATGTCTGTGTCTCGGCCTCTGTGTGTGTCTTTCTCTCTGCCTTGCTGTGTGTGTCTCTCATTTTGTCCTGTGTTCCTCTATCCTGTCGTTTTCGTACCTCGCCAACACATGACTTTTCAAGGCGGTAGAGACCTGCCTTATCAAGAAGGTCTTCATAACACATCACTCTTAACACTGGGGATCAGCCTTGTTGCTCTCCATCTGCGCTGCCTCCAGTGCCTGAGCATCATGAATTCCGACCCAAAGCACTCGTTCCATGAACCTAGCCAAGAAGTCAAAGAATGAAAAAGCAGAGGCTATAGCCGCAGTGTGCCTGATCTAACACTGATCTCAACCCCTAATAAAAAATAGATCTTGCATTTGTTATAGGTTCTTTCAAGTCAAGAGGCCGTTTCACCAGATTTTACTGTAAGGAGTTAGTGACTGCATATCTGTAGATAAACATTGTTCGTGGGAAGTTGCAGACACTGATTGACTATCACTCGTTACCTATGTAAACATCCACAGTGTTTTAAAGTAACTTTCTTACATAAGCGCTGCTGTATTGAATGTAACTTGTTAATGTGGAGAGCCATCTTAATGCATGTTGCGGCTGTTGACGTCCACTGATCACCTGTACACAGGGCGAGCTCGGGTTACCTGTGACCACTGACTCTTTCTCTGTCAACAGGGACAAGCTGTCAGAGCTGCACGGCAACATGTTTGTGGAAGAATGCATGAAATGTGGCAAGTAAGTGATTTCCTCCATTACTGCAAGGTTTATCAGATTGATAAAGGATTTAACTGCAGTTGCTAAGACTTCCTTCTCCCCCGTATGTATTTTCCCACAAACATATCCTGATAAATAAGCCTATGTTCTGAAGTACCCTCTTCTTCTAAGGAGATTTATATTCAGGAATTAATGACGAATGTTAAATAGGAAAAATGTCAACAGTCACCTTTTTCAAACATCAGACATTACCTCAGGGTTCGAATTAATCAGCCCCAAAGAATTAATTACAACAACTTGCACTTACATAGCTCCCTCCGCGCAGGGTTGTGTCTCAGAGCGCTTAACAGTGACAGAGCCTGTCTCCGAGCCGGTGGGGGCTTGGGGGGGTGCATGGGGATGACTAAATGCAGGAAAGTTTTCAGCGGGACTTGACAATCGCGGAACGAAGGGCACGGGGGTCACTGCCCTGGGTGAGGGACGCTATGTAAAGTTGTTGTCAGTTATTGGGAATAGCTTTGCATAGAATTCAACAGGAAAGCAATCAATATATGAGTTTCAAACAATTAAGAAACTGATTCAAGTTCCAGGGGGAAGGACAGGACTCCAGTAAGGTCATCGTGTCAGCGGAGACCCAGGGTGTCAGCCTGGCTCAGTTGGCAGCCTCGGAGTCAGAAGGTTTTGGGTTGAAGATCCCACATCAGAACATTGAACTCTCGCTCCAGGCTGACACTCGAGTGCAGTGCTGAAGGTGCGTTGCATTACTGAGGGTGTCGTCATTCGAATGAGACGTTAGTCTGAGGTTCTGCCGGTCCAGGTGGACATTAGGATCACACGACTCCAAAAGTGAATGGAGTTTCTACGGGTGTCCTGGCCAACAATCCCCCCGGATAAAATTGGTCATTTACAGCTGTTTGTGGGACATTACCACGTGCAAATTGGCTGCCGCATTTACCTAACAAAATACACAGTCGCTATTCTTTACAGTCAATCCTATGAATTGTTTTGAGGCATCCTCTCACCACGGAAGGCACTATATCAAATGCGAGGATTATGATATGTTATTTACAATGTCAATGGGAGCAGTAAATGGCCAGAGTTAAAATTAGAAACATCAATCAATTGAACCCGACATTTGTTCAGTCACTGGAATGAGTCTGAGATAATCATATCTGATAGTGTGACTGATGACAGAAGACAGTGTTCGCTGAACCATAGTCCACTTTTGACTAATTAATGACTGGATAAAGTGGTAAATTTCACGGATTGCCGTGAATCATCCGGGAATTAAGTCACAAGTGCACTGTTGCTCTTTACTGTTCGGGATCCGAATAAACCTCTCCATCCATAAAATTTGGTGGTGGGAGGTGGTCAGTAAAAAGTGGAAAGAAATTCACTGCAGCGAACAAAAGACTGGTAAGCGCTGAACTCCCTAAGTTATGCTGAAAGGCACAGTTAACTGCCTGTACCTGTTTTTCTATAGGCGTGAGTTCCCTCGGCCCGTGCCCCAGCCATTTTACCACCACCAACAAGAATTTGCACCCCTCACGCAGGGTGGTGTCCCAGAGCACTTCACAGTATTGGAGCACAATGTCGAGTCGGTGGGAGGGGAACATTGGCTACAAGATGTGACAGTACGTGCATTTGCTTCAGGGGAGATTGAATCTAGCCGCCTTTGTCTGTGAGCCTGTAAATCTGCTCACTTGACATGTTCTCCTGATAGTGGAATTGATATTCGCTGTATAAAGGAAGGTTGTCCCTGTCTCTGCTATCTCAGTATTCCAGGTGTGGTTTTCTGGTCTCTGCTTTAAACATTCTCTGGTTTGTGTTCCTTTGCAGACAGTATGTCCGAGACACAGTGGTGGGAACAATGGGACTGAAGCTGACCGGCAGATTATGTGACGCTGAAAAGGCCCGAGGCTTGAGAGGGTGCAGGTATGAGCGCCTCGTTTCAAATGAAGAAACTTTCCAAAACAGCAGCAACTTATAATAATAATAATAAAAATCCTTGCATTTGATATAGCGCCTTATCACGTCATTGAGGCGTCTTGAAGCACATCACAGAATACATAAAGTGTATTTTGTAGCCGAAATTTACAATAAAAAATGACATTTGCATAGCGCCTTTCACTTCGGGAGGCGCTGAAACTGGCATTTATATCGTTCATACGGGGCAGTGTCTCGGAGCACTTAACAGGAGCAGAGCTTGATGCCAAACCAGGGAGAGACGGGAGGTGACCATAGGCGCGGTCAAAGGGGAAGGTTTTCAGCTGCGATCCGGAGATGGGCAAGGAGGGAAGGAAGCAAAATAGAAAGAGAAAACATGCACTTTCGCAGAGCATCTAAAGACAAAATGTCATGCTTCCTAATTATCACGTTGAATCTGTTAGGACCCATCATATTTTTCACTCACATTACTATCACAAAGCTATTTTATTCTCATTTATTTTCACCCTAAGTTTGGATTAAAGTTAATTTTCTAAACTTGTTCACATAACCTTTCAAGTCGGGTGGACGTTTCAAATTGTTTCACAGGATTCACGGCGTAGTGTGGTGTAGTGACTGTATTTTGTGGGCGAACGGGGTAGAGACGTCTCAAAGCGCTTTGAGAATATTTTGTGCGCACAACAGTGTCCCACAAACAGTCGTGGATTGAAATGATTTTTTATTGTTGAATAAAATAATTAATAACAAATGACTGAAGTGGGTAAAGTGTCTGTCTGGTCTGTGTGTGTGTGTGCGTGTGCATGCGCGTTTGTCTCTCTATAATGTCTCAATGGACTCAGTGGTCTCAGTTTTCCCTGTCGAGCAAGTATTATCCATAGGTTCCTGTTTGTTGATGTTGTGAACATCGCTGAAGATATTGAATGTCGTTTACAGGGGGAAGTTACGAGATACCATTTTGGATTGGGAGGATGCCTTGCCCGAGCGAGATCTGACGATGGCAGAGGAAGCTTGCAGGTGAATCTCAAAACCGTTCCGTTTCACCAGAAAATCACGCATTATTTCGATTTCATTTGTTTCCTCGGTTTGGAAAGGAGTTATTTTCGGCGTCCCTTTCCCTGATGACCACCGTGAAGGTCACTAACGCAGTAATTCCGATACTCGTTTGCTCGTTCCTGTTCCCTGGACTGTTTTGAACAGACTTAATCTTACGACCTTTAAAAAAAGCAAAGAGAAGCACTGTGTTCATTCGGTTACATTTCTTAGAACTGATGCACTTTTCGTCACTGAGAGCTTTCAGAATCTCCGACTGAACAAAACTTCAATAGAGCAACTGATTGCAGACTCGACTACAGTATATTCTCATCCTCTTTCATATAACTCTCCTGTTGCCTCTGGGCAGAATATGAAACATCTTGTGCAGCGTCCTCTTGACCCACACTGCCTTTTTTGTGTCTCATTCTTGTCCCTTCCCCAGATCTGGCTGGAGGTCTTGTCATTTGCAGGGATTTAATCCTTATTGACAAATCTATTTCTCCACAAGCCTTAATATCCTAATTTGCCAAGCACCTATCCTCGCTTTTGAATGCCCAATCGACTTTGTGCATCTCAGAGAGTAAGGAACTCGGTAAACTGTTGAATTCAACAACGATAACTTGCATTTATATAGCGCCCTTCAGGCTTCGGGAACTAAATAGCCTCTTTTCTTCCCATTGTCTAAGTGCTAAGCACAGAATTTATAAGATAACAGCAAAAGTAAAATTCACATCAGTAGTAGAATTAATTTGCAAAGCCTATTTGATGTAAATTATGCTGATCCAGTGTTTAGGCTTTTGGGATCCTATGACTTGCGATGCTAATTCTTACTTTGATTCTCTACTCTTCCTCCTCTATTTCCCCTCCCAACACACTCTCCAGGAAGTCAGACCTAGCCATTACATTGGGGAGCTCTCTGCAGATCAAACCAAGTAGTAATCTGCCGTTCAACACGAAAAAGAAAGGGGGAAAGCTGGTGATCGTCAATCTGCAAGCCACAAAACTGGTGGGTACTAACTCATCACAGAATTACATAGAACATTACAGCACAGAAACGGGTCAATCAGCCCAACTAGTCTACTGCTGCTATGATAATAATAATAATCGCTGTCTTTGATATAGCATCGTATCAACGTCTTCGAGACGTCTCAAAGCGCTTTACAGGATTACACTGTAAAGTGTAGTGACTGTATTTTGTGGACGAAGTTTATAGTCAATATGAAAAATCTCCTCTGCGCCTTCTCTTTGGTGTGAATTCAGATCGCATTATCACGGCTATTCCTTAGCACTGCACCACCTTACAAAGCAACACAGCAGCTGTGACGTACAGCAACCTACATCCCAGCTGCGGAGCTGAATGTACACAGTTCACATTCTGATGTTTTGAGAGGGTTTAGTTAATTGAACGTGGGGTGTACCAGTGTTTTTTGGTAAAACTAAAGTTGGTTCCCTCTGGTTAAAAGGCTATGTTTAACCTGCCTTGTACTGTGAGGGATACGTTTGTATTAACCCTGAGGTTACCGTTGCCATAGAAACGAGGGCAGACAGGATCCTGTAGAGCATTTATTTAATAATCCAGCAAAAGGACATAGCCATGACACAAATAGAGAACGCAACTAAGTTTAGGCAGTTTTTATAAGCTGTAATGTGTAAGAGCAGTCCTTGGGATTTAATGTCGTGCTGAGAACAGATGTGCTGTACACTACACTTACTCAAAAGTGCTGACAAATGACCTGAATTGTTCTCACATTCTCTTTCTATTGATGATAATAATTATTATTATATCACGTGGCCCGCCGAACATTCGCACTAACCGAGGTAAGTCTGTGCTAAAAGCAGTCAAGAAGCAAGACTTAAAAACTCTTAAAAAGCAAAATAAATAATTTCTAATCATTAATTATTCATCGAACCTCTCTAAGTTTTTATTGAAATCAGTGTTGGCTAAGAAAGAACTTTACGTATAGAATTATAATAAATAATAATAATTTGGTCAATTCACGAATGTTCATGGTACATTGCTGTGCGTAATTTTGCCCACAAAATATACCGTCGATTCACTGAACAGTATATTCTGTGAAGCGCTTTGTGACGTCTCGACATAAGGAACTTTATCAAATACAAGGAATATTATTATATTATAATTAAATAGAGTGAAACGGCACGGAAACAAAACATTCGGCCCAACATTCTTGTGCCAATTTATACTCCATCCGAGTCTCCACCCCTCCTATTCCCCTCTCCCGTTCCTTTTCCTCTTCACTTTAGTGCTTTGCTGATAGGATTGGGAGTTGATGGTTAGATTTCATTTGAGTGACGTAGGTACTGGAGGGTGACCAGTTTCTTTTTATCTGATAGAAGGAAACGGGAGCCACAATGTATTTAGGAGGCGAGGGGATAAATGTCACTCTTGAGCATCTCAAGTCTCTTGTGATCATTAATAATAATAATAATAATAATAATTCTTGCATTTGATATAACGCTTTTCACATTTTCTTGACATCACAAAGCGCTTCACAGAATAGACTGTGAAGTGAATTGACGGTATATTTCTGGGCGAAACGCGGCAGCCAATTGCGCACAGCAATGTCCCACAAACAGACGTGGATTGAAAATGACCAATTTATTTTTGTTTTGGAGGGATTATTATTAGGCTCTGTGTGGAGTAAGGAAACTTGCCCAAGGTTTCGCCCTCTGCCTGGAATTGAACCCAGGTGTCTCGCTTGCAAAGCGAGTGCTCTAACCACTGAGCTACAGGATTCCACAAGATCGGGTTGTTTCCTCCGTCACTCAATGTTGCGCTTGTTTAAATAATATCCTCCTTGTATCACCCAGGACAAGTACGCAGACCTCAGGATCTTCGGCTACGTGGACGACGTCATAACCAAGCTCATGAAGCACCTCGGCATTGAGATCCCAGAGTGGGAAGGGCCGACGGTGGTGGAATATGCCGAAGCTGTTAAACAGGAGGCGGGGTTGCTCCTTCCCACAAAGCTGGAGCTCGAGTGCAAACCCGAAACTCGAGTTAAATATCAAAGCAGGGACACTGAGGAAGACGATAGAGGAGCCCCTCGAAAAGGAATCACACACTCCTCTCAGGAGAATAGCTCTTTCAGACAAGAACCTCACGATGTGGACTGCAGCACATTCGAGACTAAACGTGCAAAGATCGAACCACTCTCTGGATGAAGCGCCGTGAAGTTGTGCGATATCGTGCACTTTTTTTTATACACACCTTTATTTGTAACGTGTGAAGGTGGTTCGCGTTTCTGTTCCACGTAGACTGGATTTTTGATGCTAAAGTCGGAAATAACTGATCGAGGTTTATTTCATCAACTGGCTTGTTCTAAGGGGAGATGTAATTTAAATGTTTTAGATAAAGGTGGTTTCATTTGATGTTGGGCAACTGGTATAGACGGAAACCCATGCTTAAGGGTCTTCAAATCATATTGAGGACACCACATGTCTGTGGCTTCGCTTGGTCGGGTATGGAGTATGCACTCTCTCCTCTTCCCGAGTTGGCAAGACTTGGAGGAGGGGAGAGCCCCCAAATACTGCTGGAGATTAAGCAGCTGAAACTGCACCAACTTGCCCATTGCAAGCACTGGCTGACAAGCTTCCCGTCGGTTCACCTGAGCCGTTGCTGAAACCTTAATAACCAAAGGGTGCGTTTGCACCAGATCATCAACCAACCCAGTCTACAGCTGACAGGAAGGAGCGGGTTTGTCTCTGTATTTTTAAACAATATAAAAAATGGTAATAAACCATTGTAAAAATTGACACTACGCAGAGCTGCCAGAACAATTATTTTGGATGAGTTTAATAGTCATATAGGCACTGCTGTTGGGAGATATAGTTCACCACTCCTCTGTTCTCTGACCCTTCTTCGCTGCAACATCTTTCCCCCTTGTGGTAAAGACTGAGCAGCTCCATTGCCACGATTGCATTTGTATGGAAATGTACAACTCCCGCCTTATTCCCAGTTAGCTTCTGCAGCGAGAAATCGGAAATTGGAGTTGGCAGTAGAAGGAGAATTGCCATGGTTCCTCGGGCTATAATTCAGCAGTCATCCCTTCTGAGATGATTGGCCACATTCACGCCTCGCCAGCGATGGAGCATCAGTCTTGACCTCAGGTGATTTTTCGTTGTCCCGCGCACTGTTTTCACCCACACAGAATCTTGAATAACATCAAAGAGATCTCCGGTTGCTGTGGACTCTCAGGTTTTATACTTGGAATCATTGAAGTGTTCTTAGAGGTTTCCATCACTGTCACTGTGAAGTGCATTGTTATAAATGTAAGTTATTGACGAACACAAGACAGGCATTCGAGTAATAATCTCATGCAAAACATTGGTCGGGCCACAGTCAAAGTACTGGGCTTGGTTCTGGCCACTCAGTTATAGAGCGGAAATCACAGCAGTGAGAATACAGTGTCATCTTGACTCAGTGGTAGCGCTCTCGCCTCTGGTTGTGGGTTGTGGGTTCAAACCCCACGTCGGGACTTGGAATCACACATGCTGATGGACATTAAAGATCACCTGGCACTTCTAAAACAAGGGAGTTTCTCCAGGTGTCCTGGCTAACAATCTCCCAAATAAAATCAGTCAATCTCTCCATGGCTGTTTGTGGGACATTGCTGTGCACAAATTAGCTATCGCGTTCCACCCACAAAAAGCTTGCCAGGCAGCGCTCTCATTGGCAAGCTACGTGGTTTTAACTGTTTAGACTCCAGCAGTTATCCCAACGCACACTCTGGAGTTCCCAAGCCTTGGCTCTTGCCAACCTGCACCTAAAACTTCCTGGAATTAGGTAAGCAGGGTGCGTCCCTCCAGGGAGAAAGAGAGTGCGCATTTCCACTGCAATAAACATCTCTGGGATTTCCATGTGTAGGCGGGATGTGTGGAATTCTCAGTTTGGTTTGGAGACTGTTAAGCACGGTGATGGGTTTCTGCATGTGTCAGACACCACCCGGCTGACCAAAAAAAAACTTTCTGATCTACAGGCAAGATGGGTACCAACTGAGCTAATCTACCGCACAATATCACCCAACCCAAGCGTAGCACTGAATAAGATTAATCGCGGAATATCTGACCCTGTGCGGTGTGCCTGAAAAGGCTCGTGCATTAAAGTTCCTTTCTGCTGCCTGTTTCGGGATCTGGTTAATCCCCTGAGCAAATATATTCCCCGCGTGGTTTGCTAATAAATTGAAAGTGAACTTTTAAGATAATGGATGACTACAGAATGGTTAACTTTTAGTTCATTCATTTCTGGTGACTTCAAGGGTATTGCCTTCAGTCGGTCATCGCAACCAGAGTTGGCAGACGTCACACCTTTCAGATGTTGTGTGCGTGTGCCTCTAGCAAGTTTGGGGAATGATGGACGATAAACATGTTGCTTGCCATTGCCAAAAGGTTAGGCCAGGAGCCGATGGAATTTGACAATACTCGTCCTGAGTCGCGTTCCGTCAAATTCACGCTGAAAGGTGCCCAGGAAACCTGACAGCCTTTCTTAATTGGTGCTAACATTGATTTTCAAGCTGTTTGCTCTGGAGTCTGACTGTGATCACCTTTACCACGCAACAGCTCTTCCAGTTCATTTGAATGTAACATTTCGTAACGTAACATTTAATTGCGCGGTCGGAAATAATTGTTTTGCTACAGGATTAAACTGAAAGTTTTTCTTTCCTCAGTCTTTCTGTGTCGGTGAGCGCGACGGGGAAGTTGGGGAGAAAGAAGAAAGGAAACCACAGTGTTTGAAAAGGCAACTTCTTAAAAAAAAACAGTATCGTTCAATTGATCAATAAAGGATTGATCTTTCTCTCTCGGGGGTGGAGGGGGGGAATAAAAGTGGAGTAGCTCACTTTTGCCCTCTTAATTCTAGCGGTGCTGCTTTTTGATCTGCCTCTGTGTTGGTTTCCAAACTTTCCATTTAATTTAAAGAGAAATCTTGTCTAGTGTAGTTGCTTATTTGTAAACTTATTGATAGACGTGGCATAAAATGTATGGATTTAAATGTCTTTGCTCATTGCTCATACCGTGAGGAATGAATGAATGACTGTGCGATTCCCAACTCGTGACCCTGGAGATTTGACACATCCCTAATTGCAATGTGTCTCATCAACATCACACACATTCACACCGGCCTGAAGGACTGAGGCATCACTTGTTCCCTGTGAAAAGCAATTCCTTCTTTAAAGGATGAGAGAGCTACGGTTAATAATAATCCTTGCATTTGATATGGCTCCTTATCACGCTTTCAAGACATCTCAAAGAACATACTGTAAAGTGAATTAATTGTATATTTTTGTGGGCAAAACGTGGCAGCCGATTGCGCACAGAAGTGTCCCACGAACTGTCGTGGATTGAATGACAACATTTTTTAAAAATGAATTATTACCCCGGAAAAGCGATCCGACAATCGACTAACAACTGGGTTCCTACTTACTACGAGGTAAACAGAGGTGCGTGGAGTAAGGAGACTTGCCTAACATTTTGCCCTGCCCAGGATTCGAACCTCGGTCCTCTCGCTTGCGAAGCGACTGCTCTAACCAATACCCTACAGGACTCCACAATGTGGTTAGAGTAGAGAACTCCAGTTGGGGGGAGCTGGCATCGGCACAGACAGGATGGGGAGCAAGCGTTGGCCTCTGACGTGTATCTTTCCATCTCTCCTGTGTGTTTCCCTGTGATCCAACACTCGGAATGTCTCATGTCCTCTCTTCAAAACACATCAATGCAATTTTAAAAAAACTCAATTTGACGTGAAAGACCCACAGTCCTAATCTCATTTCCATCGACATGTTTTACCAGATGATAAATATTTCAGCAGGTTCTGCTTCTTTAAACTAAGTCTCTGCGTGTAGTTTTTCCCTGAAATAAGCTCCCTGGTGGGTTCAGCAAAAAGCACACCAAGGAGTCTGCGAGGCAGTAAAGAGCACCACTGTCTCTAGCCCTTTATTAATCTCGGTTTTGTGGACGGGCAGATTAAATGTGAAATAGTTTATTCTGTTACAGTAAGGATCTTTGTGGAGTCCTGTAGCTCAGTGGTTAGAGCACTCGCTTTGCAAGTGAGAGACCTGAGTTCAACTCCAGGCAGAGGGCGAAACCTTGGGCAAGTTTCCTTACTCCACACAGAGCCTAATAATAATCCCTCCAAAACCAAAAACAATAATAAATTGGTCATTTTCAATCTACGACTGTTTGTGGGACATTGCTGTGTGCAATTGGCTGCCGCGTTCACCCACAAATATACAGTCAATTCACTTTACAGTGTGTTCTGTGAAGGGCTTTGGGACGTCCTCCCGACGTGAAAAGCGCTATATCAAATGCAAGGATTATTATTATTATCTATTTTTTATTTCAAAAGTCGGTTGATGCGCTGGAAGGCAGATTAACAAACTGGGAGCATTTTATTAAAATGTTTCAGGCATTTTTCTCAACACCGTACCTTTTTTTTTAAAACCGGACAAATAATTTTCATGAAGTGCTCGACAGGAATGAGATATCAGGGGACCTGAAATTCCAATTAGTTTTAGGGTATCCTAGCAGGTCCAAGCAGCGGGAAAGCTTGCCGGACGGACACTGCCCTCACAGGCAAGCTACGTGGTTTTAGCTGGTTAGATGCCAGCAGTTACCCCAATACACACTCTGAGGGTCCCCAAGCCCCAGCTTTTGCAACCTGTGCCTTATACTAACCCGAATTAGTGAAGCAGGATGCATCCCTCCAGGGAGAGAGTGTGTATTCCATTCCAATCCATGGGAAATTCCCCCTCTACGCCTCTGGAACATAAACCTGGACCATGAACTGTCGATCAATCTTTGATTCCGAGGTGAGGTTGGCACCAGTTGAGCCACACTGACACATTAGGAAATTTCTCTCACCAGTTTGATCCCATGCATGTTAAGCAAACGTATTGTGAGCTGTTTTGTCGATAAATACTGTTTTTTTCTGTGCTGAATTGCTTTCAGATGAACGTAACAGCTTAGTGATGTGAAGCGATATGAAATTTATAACCAGTACTTTAGTTTTTGTGCAATGAGATATTGCTATATTATACACATGTTCGCACAGTACTATAAAGTAAACTAAAAGGAAACTGCGAGTTTGCTCCTGTGATTTGCAACATCAGCCGAACGAACATAGGAGCATTCCTGTCGACTCCCAGTCCAACCCTTATGTTTTTAGACAGCAGCTGTGATACAAGATTTATGCATTTATTTTGTAGTTTCTCTTAATGGGTTTCTTAATTAAGAAACCTGGAGTTTCAGAGCATCGGGACGTTCTCCGGATATGAAAAGCGCTATATAAATGCAATTTTTTGTTGATGCTCACTCGATTTTGTTTCTAAGCGGGTTCCCTCGAGTCAGCATGATGTCTTGATACATTTTGTATTCAC